TGCTTTGTGTGACACAGATCCTGTCATTCATCAGCCTGTTTACCTGTGCTGCGTTCACTGTGCATCCCTCCGGGAGACTCCATGTGCAGAAGCGCTTCAGCGGCTTCAAACGTTTTGTCGAAACACACCATGTCGTGACCTGACATCTCCACTGCAGAGAGAAACACCTGTCAGTACATACACCTCTGCTAGAAACAGGCTGGGAGCAGCCCTATCACTTTAAATAACTACAGAAATTTCATGTTGGACAAGAAGAAAAACACAAAAGGGGAAATAAAACCCAAACAAACAACATAACCTCAACTAATATGAAGTGTTACTTCCTTGTTTTAGGGCTGTGCAAGCTGTCTGTTCCTTCTTTCCCATTTCCTGCAATCTGACTAAAAGACTTGGGCATCATTCCTGCCAGCAGAGGGCAGTCTACAACAACAGAAGCTCAACTTTCTGGTAAGCAAATGGGTTTGTACTACCAGGTTTGTTTATACAGGATCAAATTACAACATCAATCATGGCACTTTATACTTAAAGGGATAAAGTAACCAGATAATCTGAAGTATTTGGGGAAAAACACTCCAAAAATAAAACAAATAAAACAAATAAAACAAGCACTTTGTGGTGGTGGGAGGGAAAATGTCCCATTTAACAGGAAGAAACCTCCAGCAGAGCCAGATTCAACGTGGGGCAACCACCTGCCATGACTGGATGGGGAGGAAGACAGATGTGCTGAGTAGAGAAGTGCTCAGTGCATCACAGTGTGTCAAAGGAAGGATAACTGAGGGGAGTTCAGGGTTACCTGAACCACGTTAATGCTCATAGATTTTATTTTTTTTGCAGCCAACAAAAAGACAAAAAGTAAAACACAGAGCAAGTTACCATAGTGATTTACTTTTGGAAGAAGTGAACCACTTTCGTGGTACAGAAAACCCAGTTTGCCACCTGGATAAGACTAAATCCTGCTTCATAGTACAGGCCTCTGATCTCTTACCAAGAAAGAAGGCCAGAAAACGTGCAGGTTTCAGTTCTATTTAATATCAAATAAATAATAAATACATAAGTAAATAAATGAAGTCTAAAAAGAATTTAGAAATAATGGATTACGCTTCTTTTAACCTCCTACTTCAATCATGTACAGATTTCACACACAAAAAAAACACATTTTTCTGAGAAGCCATCACTCAGAGGACTCACCAGTCTCCGTCACCTCTGTGACCACCTCCTGCTCCTCAGCCACATCCTGCATCAGGTACGTCTCATCGTCGTAGACCAACACCTGAGCAGAGTAGCACTCCTCCACCTGAGCGCTGGGCACCTCCTCTACAATTACTGCAGGACAGCCTTCCTCCTGCAGCACTACCCCCTCCTCCTCTTCCACCTCTTCCTCCATGATCACTGCATCCACTTCCTGCTGAACCACTTCTTCCTCCTCCTCCTCCTCAGCAGGCTGCTGCTCACAGTAGACACAGTTTGACAGATGAAAAAAAGACTGTTTTTACTGTGTTTAGAGACTTTATTGCTGCTGAAGACTGAATGTATGACGCTTGAGACACAGACTGTATCATTTCACTTCTCTCTGCAGTTCCTAACATTGTTCATAAATGTTATGAAAGCCTTAACATTAATATGGCTTAGTGAACCCTGTGTCCCCCTTTAGACTCACCCCTGTTTTCTGCTGGT